TATGCATTCGCTTATTTCAACGACGAATTTTACTGTATACGTGTACTTCCGTGAATAATTTTCTTCCCGCTTCCTTTGTACGAATCCCTCAAGGAAAATCATACTTCCAATCCATGCGTAAAGCTGTAACTTTTTTAAAACCAGAAATGCATTTGAAGCGGTTATTCAAATGTAAAGCGGTTTGAACAATTCATTCAGTTATTCAGTACCCTCGTTTTTTTGCGTATTCAGCATTCAGCATTTCCTCAATGGTGCAATTCGAGGATATGGTTTGTACATTGTACGGCAATAAAAGGGAACATAATAAAGTATATGGTGAGCTCGTGGTGTTTAAAGGATTCGGATAGTAGTGAGGATGAGGAGGAGACTAGTAATGGTAATGCTAAGAATGAGTCATCGTTTGCGAACAATGGCGAACCGGTCTTCAAGAAAATCAACGACAGTGATGATACTGATGTGGAACCGGTGGAGGTGGATCCACGCAGTGAGGAGGAGAAACGAGAAGATGCGGTCGGTTTTCGGTTCATCAAGCGATTCTCTCTTATTAGCCAACAATGATTTTCGATTCGAAGACATGAGTCGTTTCAATGAATTTATAATCCATCATCACTTATCAACAGTTCACTTTCCATTCGTTCACTCATCCCTCATTATTTTGTGTAGAGGTGAGCAGTCATCTCTATTACAGTTAGCATTGTTACGACGGTTGATGACCGAATTGTTGTTGGTGACTACGGACGGTGAGTTGGAACGTATTTGCAATGAACAGCTGGAGAATGCTACGCGTAAAGCTGGTATGTAGTATGTTCGATTGGTAAATATCAGTTTGTATGGGATGATTGCGCTTTACTTTTCACTTTTAGTATCATCATCGTTGTTGCGGTTCGCTTACTGATGCAACCATCAATCCTATTTAGTCGTTGGCGTACGATTTAATCATGTAGAGTGGTACATTTATCGACCGAAATTAACGATTCCATCAGATAGATGTGTTGCATCAGTTATTGTGAAAACGAATATAGTTCCCAAAAATGGGTGTTCCTTCAGTTAATCTGTCGGATACGAAGAAGATTTGTCTTTATTTTTTTAATAATTGAAATTCCATTGAACTTCATTTATGCAAACATTTACTCGGCAATATAATGCGATGCAGTAATTCAGTTGACGAATTGTGCATGGCAGAACAGAGATTGTTACTGTGTTTTGCTCTTGTCCGGGTTGATGATGCTCGTTGGGCAATGATTTGTTGTTTTTTTGATCAATGCTCTGAGGTGGTCACCAAGTGAGAGTATGATGTGATTTACGGATGAATGAATCGTCGTCTCAGAACGCAGTCTTCGATTTTCAGTCATCGTAATTTTTCATTTTCATATATGTACATGCATCCATATATGCTGATGATGTATTTAGCTCAACCAAAGATTCTCGTCAAAAGCTCGGCGCTCGCCGCTTTATCTGCACTTGGTAAGCATCATTTTTTTGAATATTCGTTCAGTTCAGAATATGTTTTAAAACGTTCTGTCATTACGCGTCTTCTCGACAATCTCCCACTAAAACGATACTCCATTTCGTGCTATAGCACAGCACCGCCAATTCCATCCTTTTCAATTAGAACCTCTTTCCATCAATTAATTATCTCCTCTCGTCTGTTCTGAAGTGCGTTTTCTCTTCTGTTTCATTCTGTTCTATTTCATTCTTTACACTCTCTTTTGATTCAAAATTTACGCCTGAACTAGTGAGAGAGACTGTTGTTGTTGATTGGCATCTTTTCATCTCGCCCGTTTCATCATTGTCTCAAGTACCAGTAATGGTCAAATGACTGGTCTGACGGTTCGAACTTGTTTGTTGGTCATTTGTGTGTTCATTGCGACACATGACTTTCGTCAAGTTTCATCGTCCCAGTTGTTGCATCTTCATTTTGTTATATTCTGCACACTGAATCACTCCCAATTGCTCTTATCGTTCAGAGTTCAATATATTAGTGAATCAGTCGAGTTTTATTTCTGCGATTGTTGGAACAACGACTTCAGTTGATTCGTCATTTTTAGGCGCGGAAAGCGATTCAGACGAGAGCGACGATGTGCATGAGGGTGGTACGACAAAGCGCAGTTCAGAGGTTGGAAGAGCCGGAGCAAGCGGTGAGCCAGTTGGATCTATTGCAGAAAATGAAGCAGCTGAAAACGCGGTTGTTGACAGAAAGAGTAAGGCCAAATTAAGTAGCGATGATGGGCGCATCTCGCCACACCACTCTTTATCAGCAGGTAATCGCTATGCTGTCCTTGTTGCATTTGTTTGACGGTGTGGTTATGCTGTTCATAAATTTGTTTCATTATGGTATTATCGCCACTGGTATCTATTTTGTTTGTGTTGTGTTTTCGTTATTGTTGCATGTGTTATTGATATATGTGTTGCTCATTTCTATATTATGTCTTTAGCTGTGCATTATTCATGATTCATTTGTATCAGTAAGTCTGTCGTCCCGAGTGATATTTTCTCGATTACGCACATCATATTTGTGAGGTACCTCAGCCGATCATTCGTTATTTCTGCTCAGAACACCTGAGCTTTCCAGATTTGCCTCTCTGTCTGTTTTTATATCATGTTATAGGTTAGTAACTCGTATGAAGTTGTTCTTAAGAAGAGCATTTGTAAATGATGAAATTCTACTTTGATGGACGGTTCAGTGAATCAGTGATGTTGCTGATTCATTGAATTTTTATCTTGCCCTGTTTCCATAGAGCGGGAAAGTGTTTGTAGAACAGATGCCCTATGTATGTGTAATCACTTATTGCTCTCTTACTGATGGTATGAATTTAAAATTGAGTACCACACAAAATTCGAGTAGCCTTAACAATTGGTTTCATTGGTTCTTCATCAACTTATCGTTCTTGTTTTGAAAGTCAGTGATTTATTAGAAGGCCTGCTGTAAATCATTATACAATTTCTTCATGAGTGAACCGAGTGACTGTAACTGTTAGGCATATGGCGTTCTGACTCGTGAAATCGCACCGAATTTACATTTTTTCATCGTTTGATAATTGGAATTTGGTACAAGAAGAGAGAAACCAGAGATGGGTTCATCATCAAGTTTGCACAAGCTTATCAAAACAGCTTTGTAACTTCTCTGGGTTCATCATTTGAAATGGTTACTTGAAGCTCATCGAATCAAATGGAACGATAACAATTGAATATGTTTGCACAAGTCGATTTTGACTTTACGCTTTGTTCAGTGCGTCGAGTTTATGCAATAGACATATTGCCATGTGATTGATAATAATAGTAATGACTTGACGCGTTCGCAAATGATATTTTTGCTTGGAAAAGTAAATTCTCAGTAAGCGTTTTCTTGTGAATTTACAGGCGAAAAATCAACACGTCAAAGCGAACGTCGAAATAAAGATGAAACATTGGCGAACAGTGCAAGAAGTGGTGGTGGTAGATCGTTAGGGAAAGAATGTGAAACGACTGCCCAACTCGGTACTGATCTTCAAAGTGCTACGCAATTAACGGCTGATGATGAAGACAGGCGAACGAAGTTCGGTGAGTGCCTTAAACGAATGTGCAGAATCAAAAAATGAAGAGTGATTTGTTAAGAACGGTCAAGAGCAACAAAACCATTACAGAAAGGATTGCTTGTAGAGTTCAAAAATGACTGCTTCTCTTCAGTGGATTGTTATTGAATTTATGTTTTCTGGTTCTTTTCTTATTTCAACAACTTCAGATAATCAGCATTATCCAACAGACTCGGTGCTAAAGATGAAACGAAAGAGGTCTTCAAAAGAGGGCAGGAAAGATGCAAGTTCCCCTCATGGACGCTCCAGCAGCAAGAGATCTCGAAGCAAAAGCAAAGACCGTGCGAGAAGGTTTGTTGCGATTGTACTCGTTCATTCAGCCGAAAAAACGGTGTTAACTACCTGCTTGTGTGTTGTGCGTTGGACGTTAGACACTTGTTAGCTGATCCCAACTGGAAATATAGGAAAGCTCGATCACGGAGCAACGAACGTAAAAGACGGTCAAGAAGGAAATCGTCGAATACTTCCAGATCATCGTCGAAGTCAAGTTCGAATGCTGCAAGCAGGTTCGTGTCATCAGTTTAACCATCGTAATCGTTTTCTTTTTACCACTACCATTATACTCGTTCTTTTACAATGATTAGAGCATCAGTTTACAAAATTTTCAGCAGTTTTCATTGGATTGATTTGATCAATTTTTTCTAAAAATAGTTTTTAGTGATGAAGAAAGTGAGGATGAGTCAAGATCTCGAACACCTGAACGATATCGCCGAAGATCACGAAGTAGTAGCGATGGTGGTCGTAAGAAACATCGCCGCAGTCCACATTCTCGTTCGCATTTATCTCATGCATCTTCGCACAGGTTAGTCGTTCAGTTATTTCGCTCTTGGCAAAGTGTTCATTCAAGTTTTATATATTCCACTTACTCATTGAAATTCGACATCACGATTTTGTTCGTTCTTTTCTTAAGAAGATCACCACTCGTTAGAGGCGGGGAACTTCTTGGGTCTTTTAATAATGTGACACATCGAATGAATAATTTCATCATCTTATCGACTGCATTTTCAACAAGTCTTGTTGTTGATTCGGAAGCAGAGAACCATGTCAAATTCCATGAAAGCATTCATCAAAAGTGAGCTGTTAAGGAGACATGAGAAGAGATCACGTCCAAGAAGCAGAGAACGGCGTCGATCGCGGAGCAGAAGTCAGTCTCGTCGTGATACCCGTTCCAAACGCTCTCGGTCTTAACACATTGGATAATTCTTCAGTGGATAATCATTTTATTTTTATTGTTAGCATGCTTATTGTTCCTGTAGAATTAATTCCTGATCATAACATAGGCATGCAGTGTCGTTATACGTTCTTCAGTGAGTGAACGTAGCTAACAGTCTTTTTTCCAAGCTTTTCAATGTCACTAAGAAAGGAACTCCAGTATTGGTGTGGCTTTATTTTAGTTTTCAACTTGCATCTTCGAGAGGTATGCTACTGACTGACGAATCTCCATTCTTTAATATTACAGTTGAATGAATCGCCTGCTCTCAGAAGTAAATAGGTGCGAAGACTTTCATAGAACAGTTAGCCCTAACTGAGGATTTTTTTTTTCGAACGCCACCGGCAACCGGAACTCGTTACGCATCGGATTGTTCAGTTTATCTAATAGCACATCCATGAGCACTTGCTCAGAAGTCCTAATCGTTCTTTATTCCTATCGCATATTCTCGTAATTTTTTCGAAATTTCGTGTTCTTTTTTGTTCAGTTTGTTATTTTGGACTTATATTTTCAACAATTTCCTCGCAAAATTGTCTGTAATCTTCCGTTGAAGTTCGATGTTTTCTTTGAGTGTCACCAGATTTCTTATGATTTTTCAAAATAATTTCATCGAAAGTTTGTAACTGTGGAATGTGCTCTGCTGTCATCGTAGTGTTTCATTGTTATTCATATTTCGATGTTACTGAATCTTTTAATTATTTTTTCAACCGTTTCAATCATATCCAGGTTTTCATCTTGGTGATGTTCGATTGAAAATTACACACGAAATATGAGAAGGTTGTGTTTTTGAGAGTGGTGAAAAGAGCGTCGTTTCGTTAGATACTGTGATATGATCAGTTTATTTGTGAGAGTGTTGAGGGGTTGGGTTGAGTCAGAACCAACAATCAGCTAATTTCGCAGTGGCATCCGAACTGATCAAGTGATGGCTTCTCGTTGAATTATCAGCAAAGAATATGTTTATGACTTTGTGTTAAACCGATTAGATTGCGGAAGTGTTGTTGAGCAAACTGTACTTGTTTTATCATCGTGTGTATGTACTGGTTTTATTTGTTTTGTCGTAAACTAGAACATTTATTTGATCGTATGTTACTGATATATACGCAAAAAAATCTGAATGATGAACGATTAGTTGAATTACTTTGATTCCCACCAAAGTGATTAAATGGATAATTGAAGTGGTGACAAATTTTGACTGCTTTGATCAGAAATGTTGATGAAGTCGGTGCTCTTTCTCTAATGTGAGCAACTGATGCTTGGCGAGAGTATTTGATCTCGGCAAGAATTTTTTGAACAGAGAAAGAACAATTTTGGATACCTAACAGTAATGGGAACAGAGTAAAAGCAGGTCATTTGCCAGTCATCGAAGTATTCTGACAATCATACCCATCACAGCCTCTCATGCAAACTTTTATTGGTTGTTTTCTTCAATGTGTTCACTACGGCTGCTTACTGGAAGAATTTGGAAGTTTGTAACCAAATGCCCAACCAAAACTTTTCATTTCTTCATTTTGCGCTTTGCCACTCAATTCCAGCCCATTTCAAATCACAATGCTTTTTTTTGAAACCATAGAACGGATGATAGTAGCAAGGTAATGAATTTTTGGACAACGTGATGAGTGGTCGCTGCCATCTAATTCGCAGCCACATATGGTGGCTTGTCGAGGCACCATTTTTAATGGTCATAATTGACTGCATTGGATTTGTAGCGATCAAGTGAATGTCGTTGATACGAATCGTTGCATCTCACATCTGTGTAATTTATATCAGTTGGTCAGTAGTCCGCAATTGCAATTCGGTTTTTTGTGGCATTTCTGTTGTTGAATGACGCTCTTGGATGATGACATGTTGGATCATCGTTGAATGAATTTTTATAACACATGAATGACCTACAAACAGGAACTTCCGGTAGAGCAATGTCATCTCATAACATGACCTGTTGCTGCTTGATTGCGACGTGTGTAGTCCTCTACAACAGCGAAAATTTGATGGCCAGTCGGTGTTTAATGCTGTTCAATTTCAACAGTACTTAAAGCCGACGTCTACCGGAAAAACAAGAAGTACTAAACACTGGCTAGTAATTACGTAACAAGACAGCAGTTGGACATGTTATCAAATTGATGCGACGTTTACGATTTGCAAAACTTTGACTGGCCTGCTAATTCATTGGCTGAATTATGATGCATGACGTCTTTTGCCGTGCGATCTGAAGGCCACTCCCAAAAACTATTGTTTTCAGTTGTGCTCCTCTACATTCTTCGGGCAAATGAGAAGAATTTTGATTGAATAACTGATACAAATACAAATTCTCTTCCATTCTTCGGTTTAAGAGCGTCACAACAGAATTTGGTTGATTTCTACTCGAAAAATGTTTATGTCAGAATGTGTGGTCTTATCACGTTTGTTCCGATTGTTCATTCACGATTGTGACTTTAATTTTGTGTAATTTTTAGCAGTTTTCAATTGAGAAAGATTTTTTTTTGTTATGGCATTTTTTGGGTTATATTGTTACGTAATAATACTTAATTGTCATGCTGATGTTGTTTCATCAAATGTATTGAGATGTTATCAATAAAACGCTCTATTTCCGATTTAGCTGCTGTATGGCTTTTGTGTGCACACAGACAAAACAATCCTCAGCCCACATCTAGCGAACGTTTATTCTGACAAGTATTGCGTTCTATTCAATAATGAATTTATGAAACGAGCCCTTTCATGAAAATATCTCAAATAGAGTAGGTATACAGAGAGGTGGGTACTTTTCGTAAACGTTTTTTGTTGATGAGTTATAGATCATATTAAATTTACGTTAACGAAATTAATGTCAACATATACCTTACCCCGGGGCCTCCTAACTTATTCGTTTTTCTTTTGAAATAATCGAAATAATGGTATATAGAACATACTTTTGCATTCAGAATTTCTTGTCACACATGGGAAAGCAAACTGTAATAAGTTCCATTCGCTCCGGTAAATTTCCTTTATCAGTAAATCAATTGAATAAGGAATGAGATCAAAAAATAGTTTTTTGTTAAATTAAAAAAAATGTAAATATGTGAACAATTGTTTCACTGGAATGTAATCAGTTGCCATTAATTAGCATAGATATATCTTTCGAAATGAAACGTTGACAGTTGTATCCTCTGTTTTTTCCTCTCATATTTAGTGACTGTTGTCGACTTCATATAAATTTAAACGTTGGTTTCGCATTAAGAATGTTACCTGTTTCCAGCACAAAGTGAATAAAATGGAGGATTCCCATTCATTCGAATGGAAAACTGACAGATTATGCATTTCATCAGTTTCGGTTGTCTTGGCCAGTGCAATCCCGAAATTACATATGAGTAACATCGACACTATCGGTTGACTGTCAACACCCGCACTGTTCCAGTCAAGCAATTTCACATTGTTGACGTCAACTATTTGGTTGATGGGGTATGGAGTGTCGGCATGATTATTTCCGCCTTTGTAAATGCAATTCAGAGAACTGAGCAATTTCTTAAGCTTCCTATTGCCGTAACGCATCATTGCTTTTTTGAATGGTGACGAACAGAACGGATGAACTGGCGATATGAACGCATTTAATTTATTGCAGTCGTATATGTCAGAAGTGGAATGAATGGAAAACTTTCACTGATTTATGCTCAACAATGAAATTACGTAGTTTACGAATACAATTACATTTCGATTCATGTCTTAAAGCATTGATCACTAGCCAATTGAAGTTGTTGTTGTTGAAAGTCGTGAACAGCTAGTGCGTTACTTTATTACCCTTTTGTTACGTTCTGTGTGTAATGTGTTTGTAATTTCTCGCATTCAACTCCGATCGGTGTTCCACTCGAACTACGACTAGACTGTTTGACCACAAAAGATCTCAAATTTGAGCTCATTATTTTGTATTCTTATGTAATTTATCTCAACGATTCATTTTTTCGCAAGGTATTGTCGCTTCATCATTTCGGGTATTTTGTCTAGTGCTACTAGTAACGTCCGTAACGTTGATCCTGAATTATTTGTTTGTTTTTTTTTTCAAATAATACTGATGATTACACTTGAAAAGTTGGATTTCAGTTCACATAATCTCTTCATTCAGTAAGCTGTGATTATTAACTGTGTTAAGTCTGCAATCGATATGAGGCAAATGACTCTTAACTGCAATGACTGTTTGACTACATTTTGGTTGAGACAATGTTCTGAAAGGTTCGTTGCCAAAAGTCAGTCAGTGAGCATATCAGCTGGGAGTTGACGAATTGTTGAATGAGCACAATCCGAGTGCTAGTGATTGAAACATTTGAAAATTTTGTAGCGTTTACACAGCAGCAGACTTATCATCACTTATTAATCATTGTCGTGCTTATAACGATTTGTTTCAACTCATTTTATTCCAGTTCCTCAGTGCTCGATTAATCTCCGCATTTGTTCAAAACCAATCGTCCACTCCACATCCTTTGCTATCTCCAAAGTGCCTCAGATTTAGAATGAAGTTTTGACTTTTCCGAACAACTGAACCTTCTCTTCAGTGAAACACCAGTCTGATCCAAATCTGAACCGGTATAACGATAACGTTGAAAGTTCGAAAACATTCTTTCGAATTCATAGCTAAGTTAGAATTTTTGGTAACTGATTTTTATCCAGTTTAATTAATGGTAACTGACTTTTATCCAGCTTAATTAATAACTTTTATCCAGCTTAATTAATAACTTTTATCCAGCTTAATTAATAACTTTTATCCAGC